GACACCCAGCAGTGGCATTGATAGCAACAAAGATAGCCCTATACAAATAGAGAATATTGATGGTAGTAGTATGGTCGGTATGTATGGTCTATTGTGCAATATTTTATGTATCTCAATGTATGAAACTTTGTCTTATCGCGTCCTGTGAGCATTTTCTCTTTTGAAAAATTGTTATATCTGTCTTGCATTAATAACCATTTTACATCTCATATTAATCGAATAATGTTTTTTTTTTTAATTAACAATATTATGTTGTGATGATCACTCGAATATTCAAGACAACAGAAACAAATTCGAACAATATTGGATCAAAATATATTTTTTTAAATTAATCCTAAGCTTTTTAAATAGCTCTCTGCTTTTTGGATTTTATATATTTATTATTAAATAAATTATATGTCAAGCTTGTAACAATTTTTCTTATTATACAACATTATAGAGATATAAAGCTTAACTATAGAGCAATTTTATAATTCATAAATATAAATGCAGTTATAGCCTTCAATAATATATGCAGTTTAGCAATTCAATAATAATATTTGCTTTTAAAGTTAGATTTTTTTATATCTGAAATATAGATAGATTAATATATATTTAGCAGTTGTTATTTCTCTGCAGATACAAATGACGCATCTGAGAGAAGATCAGTCATGGCAGGTGGAGGGGTCCGTGGATGGTTGCCAGATGTGGCTGTCGTTTTATGGCGACGTATGCTATCTGCATTAGGAGACGTTAATAATATTCAAGATCCTGTTTTACATGGCCAAGTCATGGATTATCTCGTACAACTCACACAAACGTTGATTAAGGTAAGTACTGCTAACTTAAAAATGTTAAATAATATTAAAAATAAAATGTATTATGGATGAATTGGCTCTTTTCATATTCTATATGATTTTTAGATACGCTTAAACCAAGGAGTATCCGGGGATAATCAAGCGACACCTCCAGCACCAGAGCTAATTCCACCTTTAACAGTCATCGCACCTTGGTGTTTCAAGGTATATATTTACATATAATTTGTATTATAAAAAAATTTGTATTACAAAATTATCTTTTGATTCTTATCCACATACTCTTTGCAGGCGATCCAGCTTCCCGATCAATACGAAATTGGCAAATTAGCTGCGTATCGCCTAATATGTCTGTTAACAGTGCAACCATTGGACATCAGTCTACCGAAACAGCATCTTACGCTCTTCTATCGCGCCGTTCACAATGGAATTGCTAGTAATGATACTAAAGTATTGCACGTGCTTGTGAAATATACAGGACCTAGATTATTTAGTCTAAATCTACCTGGAGCGAGTCTTCTAATTTTGGATTACATACACGCTGTTAATGTGATACTTAACAGTCAAGATGTCGAGGTATTTCATCATTTTTTTTTCTTATCATTTTTTTCTATAAATTATAAATAATAATAATATTTATCTCAATATACATAGTATATATTATTACTTTTTATTTCAGGCACCAAGAACAGAAGCTGTTTCGGTTATCGGTTCATTGTTATCCTTACCTGTTGCAATGACCAAGTTACCCATGTTACAACCGAATGGACCTGATATTATTACTATGACGTGTCCAGAAGCAAAAGTAATACCTGCGCATAATTTAATGACATAATTGATTGTCTCAAATTAATTCTTGTAATTTCATGTGTATTTTGCATTTTTAGGAACATATCGTAACAATACTTTTGCGAAGCTGTCGACGAGAACCCACAGGTATTGCAAGATGCTTGGCCTTATCAAGTATCGCAATGTTCGTATATAAAGAACTATCCTACAAAACGCAACATCCAAGAGTTCCGGAAGCTGTCACAGTTCTTCTCTTTGCACTTAGAGTAAGATGAACATTTTTTCTATGTTATATTGTAATCTTTATTATA